TCACAGGGCGTAGGAAAACACTTAAGAAGTTTGACCTGTCCGAGCACTACCGGCAGCGCAAACCTAAGTACGTGACTGAGTTCATCCACGAGATGCTTTGGGGCAAAACTTTGCAGAAGCTGGTCAAGCGTGGGATTGAATTGGCCGCGGACGCCCGCGAGCGCTATCCTCATGCACGCATCAACCTGCACTTGTCCTGGTTCGGAAATGAATTGGTAGGAGAGGATGGAATTGCCCAAAATCCAAATTGGCCGTACGATGGTCCCAACGGGCACTGGCCCACGATCCTGGATGATTGTGAGCGCCACTTGACATGGTTCATCAACAAGGCCCGGGAGTTGGACTTGCAGACGGCCGGTCTCACGACCGCGCCCTGGAGCGCAGATTACGGCATTCATCCAATCTTCGATCAATTTTTCGACCATTTGGAGCCCCGATTCAAAGCTCTAACCAGCAGCCTGCAAGGGCGTGCCAATCCGCGGTATCCGTGGCTAAAAGCAAAGGGGTACGCCGATGCAATGGAATTCAGAGACCAGTGGCATTTCGCCAACTCTGAAGAAAATCGCACGCGCCTTGCTGCCTATTGGACAGCTACCCTTTTCGCACTTGATTCGGATGGCGGGTCGGCCAAATTGGTTTGGAGCTTTCTGAGTGTGCCCAGGAGACATGGGATGATTTGCGGAGGAACATGAGCGCCGTCCTGGACGAGCTGCCAAGATCCTATCAGGAGACATGTGCAAACATCACCAAGTTGCTTTTTGGAGAGTCCCGAAGACACATTGTGCCGACGGGCAGGTCATTCACCAAGGAGGACGTCGAAGCTCAACAACCAGACACTGAGGACTACATCGACATCAAGACGATGCCTTCGGGCACGTTTGCTGAGCCTCCCAAAGATGACCCTCCAAAGGCCGCCGGCGACGGCGAGCCCGCTGCATCCAGCAGAGCAACAATCCTGGTCCAGACAGCTGAGGTCATGTTGAAGTCGCGGCCGAAAGCAGCACCAGCATCAATGGATGAGCCCGCAGATGACAAGGGAGCCACATCCAGCCAGTACCAGCCGCAGGCAACTGCGCGCTTAGAGGGACAAGCATCTGGCCACGTGAAAGCATATTGGATGGAAGAGCATTTGCCTGAATACCAATATACAATGGTGACCAATGCAGACGGGGACGATGTGCCCGGCATCCTCTTTGAAGGTACGGCTTATGAGCTGGAGCTGATATCGGCATCCGACGTTGAGACCATTGCCAGCCAGACTCGCGTCGACAAGAAGTTTTCTGATTTTGCAACTCGTGTCAACAAAGTTTGCAGGGGGCATGGATCCTGTGCCAAGGTGCCAATGGACAAAGACCTTTGGATTGACTTGGAGGATTTCGCCAAAGCCTTCCGCAAGGAAGTGCCCCCAGATGTTTTCATCACTGTCGCAAACCTGTTTGGCACCGCAATGAAGATCGACAAGCATGGCAAGAGTAGGTTCCAATTCTTGTGTGCAAAGATCTCCCATTTTCCTGTCGACAATGGCCTAGGCATGCCGTATTATCCTGTGAAAATCCGTGCAATTCAGGGTCACTCCGAAGCTGCCTTGAAAACCGCAGGGGGTCTTTATGCCAATTCAACCATGGTGTATTGCTCAGACCATGTATCCCCCGAGCGAAAAGCCGCCTTCACTGGCGTGCCCCTGTGTGCCATGACTGAGGTTCCTGAGGTTGTCTTCCATCGCACGATGAAAAGCAGCTGGAAGAGCATCGCACAGAATGGCCTGATTCCAGGCGGCGGTGCAACAGTCAACAGTGGCCGTGCTCATATCTACATGGCAGAACACTGTATTGGCACGCAGGGATATCGATCTGGATTAAGAGCAAAATGTCCAATCGAAGTCAAAATCGCAATGCGGCAAGCAGTTGAAGCTGGTGTCATCTTTAGTCGCACAGAAATGGATGGGATTTTGTGCTCAGAACGCATCCCACCGCAGTTTCTGGTCAGCATCTCAGAAGAAGGACAGGTGCTTTGGTCCCGCGCCGAGAGCAATCTCGAGCCCAGCTCATGGACTGGCGCGGCATCAGCCTCAGCACCGAAATCCAAAGCGGTCACCTTGACTGCCCGAGATGATGCAAATGACGACCCAATGGATGACACCAGCACGGGGCGACCCGATGCCAAGTCCACTGATGATGATGCAGCCACTGCCCCAATGCAAGTTGACCAGCCGCCCGCAAGGACGCGCCGTGTTTACATTGCACCCAAGTACTGCGAACCTTTCATGGGCTCCTGTCCCCTCTGCCAGGTTGAGTACGTCAGTGGCCAAGTGACATGCACCACATGTGGGTTTGAGCCACTCCCAGTGGACGAAAGTGGCGATACAAAAGAGGCCAACAAACCCAACAGGAGGACCCGTATCCTTGAACGGCGAATGCAAAGTCTCGCCGGGTTCGGAATGTTTGGGAAGATGAGCGGAAGCTTGCTGACAGCCTTGACGGAAGAGCAAGCCAACCTGCTACGCCGAGAACTGGGCCCCAGGGGAATCACATCCGTGGAATCAGCAGTCCTCAAAGACTGCCGCGACAGGCATCGACGTGCAAAAGCGCTGGGCTACGAGGACGTGGAAGACAGATACTCCAGCGACGTCACTTTTTGCGACCGCATCCACGGTGAGGGGAAGGACCTGCAGGACTGCATATTCGACGATATGTTCGCATATGGCAACCTCCCCGATCCCCCAAGGACCAAAGCTCAGATCTCGGCTGGCGTCGCCGCCAATGCCCAAAATGAGAACTGCTTATCTAAGTTGATTTTCATGTCTCAGCCTCGTGGCGTTGATGGCTTCCCAGTTGAGTTCCGCAAAACATGGAAGAAGGTCTGGGGTTTCATGTTTGGCCGCCACATTTTTACAGAGGATGAATATGTCAGCTACATCGGCCGTCGTGGCGCATTCCGTGGCCTGTTGACCTGGAAGGGTACTGTCCAAGTCCCTTTTGATGGCACTCGTGATTTCCTCGAAAAGGTGTATGAGGAAAACCTTCCCTTGGTTCGGAGCAATCTTGAACGCAAAGAGAAGCAGAGCGCCGCTGCAAAGGCTGGAGGTCCTGGAGGTCATAAGGCCGACCCCACGGTCGCGCCCACCACTGAGCGAAAGCGCAAAGCCGAAGCTGATGCATCCGCAACCGCACCAGATGTCACAGCCGCCTCAAGCTCTGCTCGCGCAGATGCCTCGCACGCTGATGCCCCAGTTGACCCCAACAACGCACCATTTCTGGTACCTGAACCACCAACATCCAAAGCAGGAGCACGACCATTCTTGGAGCCTGAGACACCGCCCACTGCAAAAGCAGCAACCGCAGGAGTCACTTCGAAGGCTGCAAGCTCCGGTCGCCCGGATGCCTCTTGGAGTTGGAATCGTGATCACTATGGTGCACGCCGAGAATGGAGTTTCTGGCGTGGGGCTTGGTATTACCGTGACGAGGCCGGCGGCCGTTGGATCTTTTGGAACCGTTAGGGAGACGATGATTTTCTTTTGTAGCATAGCGCAAGATGTGGCATGGTATTGTGCCTTCCTTGCAACGCTGCGCTGGGTTTTACGGGCTTGAGCTTTTTAGAGGGACCTTTGAAAGACTGCACAAAATGTCTAAAACCAACTAAAGAAATTTGGCTACCCGCGAGGGTATGCTTTTCTGGGTTATTCGTTCTCCGCAGTCGTCCCTGCTCGCCCGAGGGGGGTGTAAAAACTCCTGCAGTAAAACCATGTATTGTAGATATCATCGATCTGCCCGATAGCGTTGGTTCAAAACAGTGCCAGCAGCTTAGCGGTTACTTGCCCCCATTGTTATTGTAACATATTGGTGGCTGACCTTGTAAAATACAGATATCTCTAGTTGGTGGAAAAAAAACAACATACATACCCTATGGTCAAAGTAATCCAATAATTGGCGGCTGATTGTGATTGTAATATGGTTACTGAAGTACTAGGGGCAAAATGGGTAAAACTACCATCATTATACTTGGGCTGTTGGTTGTAAGTTGGTTCGTGATCTCATAGCCATGGAACAAATGCCCGGCATTAGGGACAATAGAACAAGTAAAGTGATTGAAACCACCAACCAGTATAAAGATCATCCAATAGTAAAGGTTTATAATGGTTCATCGATAGTTTATTAACCGCCAACAACCACCACTAATATTCACGGGCCATGCCCACGGCCAGCCATTTCCCCAAGTTCTGATTCTGACCATGACACAATGCATCTGGTTTTTGTTGGCCGGTTGCCCAGCAAAACAATGTGGATTTGATTGAACTAATAATTATCATTAATCAATATTAATCATGGAATTGATTAATTATCTATTATTGAACTAATAATTGAACTGATAATCAGTGAACTATTGATTTTATATAATGTATTGAACTAATAATTGAACTGATTGAACTGTGGACATGATATAATGCATACATGTAATTACAGGATGTGTCTCAAAATAATGATGGGACATCATGTTTTTTTTTTTTGGGGGGGACAGATTCAATACGATATTGAGGCGTCAACCAGTGTCCAGGATATTCTGGACTAAACTGTGATATTATATCAAGTTGGTTATATATATATATATCCCCGTGAAGTATCTATGATATCCATTCAAGTGATTAGTGACCCTGGTTAGTAAGTCCCCTAAGATGGTCATCCCATTTATAAACCATCCCACTTACCAACCACTTACGATCAGTGGGATGATCCTGCAAGTAATTCATGAGTCATTGGGATTTTCTGGGATAAGAATATCAGATCAAGTTGGGTATATATATATATATATCCCATTACATCCTATTCCATGAACATCCCGTTTCACAATATACCCTCTGGTAAACTCACATAGCTATGGAAAATCGCCATTTTTAATGGGTAAATCAACATATATAAACTATAAATGGCCATTTTCAATAGCTATGTTTGTTTACCAAGGGGTAACGAGATCACAGATTTTTGGAGCCCAACTTTCAACACAGCCAGGCGCGCCGCAGACGAGGTCAGCGTTCTCAGTTTCGCATGCACGGCCTCGTGCAGCTCCACGGCGCAGGCGCAGGTGCGAGGCGGTGATGGTTGCTGGGACATCACGAAAAAACATGGGGAAAACTACCAAACAAATTGGACATTTATGGAAAATGATCGAAATTTGAATGACAATGATATGGAAAACATGATGAAAGATAATGGATATGGACTGGATATCAGCTAGATTTGAATTGTGCTTTCATGATTTTTTAATCTCGACCTCAGCTTGTGCTGAGCTCCTTGAGATGGTCAATCATCCTATTCCACACTGGAGTTGCCATAATTGAAAAAAGTGGAAATGCCACATGTTCACACACACACCCATACCATGGCCGTAACTAGCAAACAAACAGCAATAGAATGTGGGATTTTAATTTTGTCATGTGATTATGTGGTGGATTTTTAGCTTCCAAGATCAGGGTTTAGATAACTGTTGACTAAAATGATGTCTATCATGAGAAAACCCAGGTGAAATGGGAATGAGTCAAAACGTAGGATCTCCTACCTTTGGGTTGGGGAAAAAACATGTTGTGAAACACCGCTACTGATATCAGGATCATGGCCCATTCCCCGTATACCACTCAGACATGGCACGGTGAACTTTCATCAACAAAGATAGTAAACTTTGGAGTTTTTTCAGCCACAAACCCGGGGATACAGTGGCAAGATTGGGGGATGAAACCGGGAAACCTGGCAACCCTAAAGAAAGACGACAATTTGTTGACCAACTGTCCAAGGTTTACATAGGTTAGAAAATCGTAGCATGAAGATGCATTACTAACCAGCTACAATTTTACCTCCTGTACCTGGTAAATCTTAGTAAATGTTCCGCAAATTTCGGAATGGCTGAAGTCAATCGAATGAATTTGCATGATTTTGGAGACCAACCCCATCCTCGTCATCGTCATCCCCAAAACGGCCGGGTAGTTTCATTGAAAAAAACACCTTGAAGCGATCCATTCTGAACTTGGGATGTTTCATGGGCCCCTCCGGTATTCATGGCCGTGGCGGGAAATCAATCCCCAAACTCAATGGACCTTCGAATTCATGGGAAAGTCATCAAATTGCGGTGGATCTTCCATGATTTTCCCATTAGAACACCAATTCTAGTGGATTTTCCAGCCATGTTTACCCATCATCCCAGTTTTTGCATGGCAGCGTTTGTTCAACGGTGCCAGGCACAATCTCCCAGCGATACGTACGGTACGTCCCAGCGGCGACTTGGACGAGCAGATGTAAAGGTGGGTTATGACCTGTGGTCTCTAGGGGATGTAACTTATGTTACTGATGTGATTAAGTATAGTATGTTAAATATGTCATGGTTACATCTCTATATCTAGATTCTGATGTGATTAACTATAGTCTTCTTATATAGTCTGATGTTTATGGGGTTTATTCCTTTACACCAATGCTATGGCTTATGATGTCTTATGCTTATGGGGTTTGTTTACACCAATTCTATGGCTGATCGGTTTATGGAGGTTTATTTGGGGATGTAACTATAGTCCTCGAGGGTTGTTTAAAGCCAACACGCATAAACTGAAAGGAGGTTCTTAATCCCAAGGGACTGGGATGATGATTTCTTGTTGAAGCTGATGACAACGGATGATGACAACGGATGATGACAACGGATGATGATGATGATGATGATCTGAATTGACCAACAGTAACATTTATGTAATGTATGTTTATTGGTTTGGACGGGGTGAAGCCACCAGCCAATCTGTATTTCTTCAACGGAAATTTGGGCCCCACCTGGACCACTTCGGACTGTTCTTAGTGTTGATCCATTTCTACTGGCAATGGGATAAGATACTGCCAGTTGGAAGGAAAAAAGGGGAAAGCCAGTTCTAGGATTATAGGATTGATGCCTGAGTTTGCCACACGTAGCGGGTCTCTAGGTCGGATGGCAGCACAGATGCCGCGACGGCCGCCAAGCTGTTGGCGCAACGCTTTGAACTGCAGCAAGTCTCATCGTTGCTGGAGTCCAAGGCGGTGGAATGTTTCCCTCTGCCTTCGGGAATGGAAACATCATGGAAACATCATGAAACATGGCTGGCTGGAAAAACTTGAGAATCTTCGAAACTAAATGGTTAGATGATGTTATATAGATTAATGGAAGTTAGTTAAGTCCGGATTTTGCATGAGTTTTTGATCCACCTGGGTTGTTGAAGTAGAGGGTTGGCCCCCAAAATGCTTAACCCGAGGCATTTCTTGAGATTTTAAGCTCCCAGACCACCATTGAATTATAGTTCATTGTTGGTTGACACTGATGCTAATGATTGCGCGGCCCGTGTAGGTGCTTTCAGTATGGGCAAGCCTCGTTTGTTGATTTGTAAAACTCACCCACAAGCTAACCCTTTGTAAAGCAGTTGTCATTCCAAGTTGACTAAACCTGAGTTTGGCAGGTCAATCGGTTGATGTTTGGCAGACCAATGACGAAACACAAGTTTGTTGCTGGGCACATTTAGATATCTAAGATTAGGGATACGTCAGCATCATGTTGGCCCACAACATGTTTACACTGATTGGTGGCGATATACCCATTGCTGCCGTCGGGTCCCAGTGAATTGGGGCTATCGGCTTAGATGAAATACTGTAAATTTACAAATTCAGATCCCAGCAGGCAAGTCAAGTAGTTCATCTAAAGCTTGGCATGATATTTCCCCATGCAGGACTTCCCCATATTTTCCCATATTTCCCCGTTCACAGCCATAAAGTTCGTGTTGAACCCCAAAATCAGCCAGCATTTCTGATTTGAGACATAACATCAATCTTTCAGATCATGTAGGCCATTGTGTTACCCATGGGGTCCCTGAACTTCGTGGAAAGCACATGGGTATTGACCAGATTAATTATATATATATATATAATTATAGTTTTATAATTACTATATTTTTATATATATACATATATATATATACATATTATTATTGTTATTATTATTTCTACATACAGTATATACTTTTATTAAACATATAATTATATATATATACACCAGTTTTGACGGGCCATAGCCGAAGATTCTCTTTCCCCCAATATGAAGTTCCACGCAAAGGCCCGAAAATGAAGAGATCCAATGCTGAACAAGGGTTTCTAGGCAAACTAATCCCATCCCTCTAATCTTAAACACCTCCTAAATGGCCCCAATTATATGGAAATCCCCTACTAAACCATGGTTTCTGGGGAGTGTGTTTAATATACTGTAAATTAAGGGGATGGGATTATTCAATCTTAGCGGGAAGGGCTTCACTTGCTGGATGTATGGTAGCTACATTCCGGTCAGTTTCTCACTGCCACCAGGCTAGCATCATCTTCAATCACTGGAGTCTCCGACTTGGATGATAGGAAAAAGAACATGGACCCCCCCCGTAATTATATTTACAAGGTGTTCCCCCATAGTTCGAATAAGTTCGATTATAACTTGAAGCACATATACATAAACCCTTAGAAACCCTTAGAAACCCTTAGAAACCCTTAGAAACCGTTGGAAGCGGCAAACAAATTTAGCAGATTCTGCAGGCGGAGGAGACCACCAGAAACACGCAGGACCTGGCGGAGTCTTGGCAGGCTCGATTCATCGATGGGTGGTGAAGTTTTCCCCCCAGGTTTATCCTCTGGTAATTCAACATAACTTAACATAACTATGGAAAATCACCATTTATAGTGGATTTTCCCATTGAAAATGGTGATTTTCCAGTTCGTTATGTTAATTTATCAGAGGGTACCATTTTTATGGGTGGTATAAACATGTACGCTGCAACCCTGACGTTGCGCCGCGTCTGACTTCAGGTGGCTATGAAGAAAAAGTTGATGTTATTACTCCAATATTCACGAAAGGTAGCGTCAGCTACCTGAGTTCTCCGTGCTTCAGCACAATCATAGGGGGTATTGGGGGGCCAGCCCGTGGAAAACGTAGAATTCTCGACGTTATGTATTAGATATCAATTATAAGGGAAAGGCCCCCCCCTAAAATGGTCATGGGTTCAATTCCCACGGGTGACGCCGTCACGGTCCTCCACAGTAGAGGCACACTCTCCATGAGGGAGATGTCCCTGTAGTCCAGCATAATTGGTTTGCTTCAGCCTCAATAACAGTTGCTGCAAGGGGTCTTAAAAAGGGGTTTTAAATAAACTCCTTTTCGTGCATCATTTCATGCTGCACAAGACACCGTATCATGCAGTCATGCTCTGGGTAAAATCATCTTAGACTGCGCAAAAACGTTTTGGATTTTTGGTGTATCATCTTAGGGGCGCAGCATTTTGACACCGCTCCTCTCCCACTACACTACCTTTCGTCCGCCTTCGCCTGCTCTCAAGTGTTCATAGGGCTTAGGGGGTGGCGAATTTTGATCCCTTATGCAGATAAAGTTGATGTTATTACTCCAACCAACATATTGTTCATAGAGGGTGGCGAATTTTGTCATAGGGGGTGGCGATTTTTGATCCCTCATGAAGATAAAGTTGATGTTATTACCCCAATCAACATATTGTTCAGAGGGGGTGGCGAATTTTGACCCCTCATGAAGATAAAGTTGATGTTATTACCCCAGTCATCATATTGTTCAGAGGGGGTGGCAAATTTTAATGTGATGATGATCATGATGTGATGATGTGATGATGCGATGGTGATGATGATGATGATGATCATGATGATCATGATGATCATGACGATTGTAAGTGTGGAGCAACGTCCGGGTTGGGGCGAACATGTATAAACCACGAATTTACATGGCTGGTTTGTGACAATTGCTTTACTGTTAAATGAATCTTCTTTTGTCACTTATTTTCCGACTTTGTATCACATCCATAAGACGTTGCTTGCTGTCCATTTTCTAGCCATGCTCCAGGCACGGCTAGACGCGACACTGGAGAGCCGGAGTCAGCAACTGCAACAGCTGCAACGGCTACAGCAGCACAGCAGCATGGTGCAGGCTAGCCCTGGACGTGGCTGTAAAGCAGCCATGAGAGTTTTTACCCATATGATAACAAAAACATCTGAAAAACGCTGATATATGGGACTTTGGATGTAAGTTGGGAAGGTGCTCAGCGGAAAAATCACACATGGCAATAGAAAGTTCTCGTTTATAGATGGTTTTCACATGTTTTCACAGCTACAAACCTTATTTTTTTTGAGGGATTCCCCATTGCCATACAGATTATATATACCCTCTGGTAAACTAATATAGCTATTGAACATGGCCATAGACATATTTGATTTACCCACTAAAAACGTGATTTTCCAGTTCGTTATGTTAGTTTATCAGAGGGTAACGGCCCATTTTTCCGGGTGAAAACCCAAATTTTCACCAGGAGAAGTTGCGGCAGACCAAAGGCACCGTGGAACAGGCAACTGCCGTGGCTGCAGCTGCCACGAAGCGACGTTTGAGGCCACTCCGGTGTAATCCGAGGTGGCAAGCTGGAAGAACCTACTTTAAATATCTTTAAATAAAGGTTTTCATGGGAAAATCATCTATAAATGGTGGATTTCCAATTGTTATCTTTGATTGCTGGAGGTTAAGATACCTATCGGAAGTCCCTGAAGTAATACAAAAATCATCGAAGTCAATGTGGGGATTTGCCATTGGCACTTTTGATTACCAGAGGGTAATGGCATATAGTGATGGGATATGATATATATATATATATAATATATTATATATGTATTATATATTTATATATATACATATACTGGCGTATTACCAGTGCTACTTGGAATATGTTTGAAATCCCTTTCCCCCAATATTACCCCCCCTAGAAACCACGGTTTAACACCACATAATTGGTGTTTAATATTTGGGGGAGTGGGATTATATCTGCAGATTTCCTCCCTTGTGCCCTCAAACAAAAAGTCCAGGGATGCAGCCCGTGCTCGAGTTCAAAGCGCTTTGAATGAGGAGCATCACATGCAGCATCCTCCAGAACTTGGGGGCTCCAACTCGCCAGGTCTGTTGCAAAAAACAACTTGGATATATGATTGATATATGTTAGAATCTTCGTTCACTTCTATGGGTTGAATCTTTAGTCCCTCATGGTCCCTCCATTTTGTTGATTACATCAAACTGAATCCACGGTCGTTCGAACCCTCATCTCCTACCCACTTTCACCTGTTAAATCACATAGCTATGAATGACATCCACAGTGTTCAATGCAAATCCCCACCTTGCCTGGGTAACATCCAGGTAGATGACATATCGGAGCATTTGTTCTGGCAAAGCAATGCGTACATTTGATAGGTTGGATTCGCACAGTGCTTAAAAGAACCTAGGATAACACCTTCCATCCTCTCGATAATCATCATTTTCAAAATTTTCCCCATTCAAATTGCCATTTTGGTAGATATAATCCCAGCCCCTTACCCCCAATAAGGGACCCCAAGTCATGAATAGAGCAAATACAAGACCAGGATTTTTATTAACTATTACCTGGCGGTGCAGTTCTAGCTACGAGTGGATCTGGATATATAATAACCATAGTTACAGGCTTACAGCTCAACTTATGGAGTTCAAAATCCCATGGTTATACCATGTTATACCCATGAAAGGCAGCCCAACTGCATCCCCAACTGCTTGGAGGATCATCACGAATGTATCTCACTTAGGAAGTGGGATTCGTGGGGTTATAACATGTTATAACCCCCTTATAAATGGGATAACCGTGGATAACCCCCAGTTAGGGGACTTACTAACCATGGTCATTCCCCGTGCCGTTGACACAGGAGCTGCGTGCCGAAGCCGCTGCGGAACAGCTGAGGCGCAGCACGCAGCGGCAGGCGCAGGCAGCCCAGAGGTATCAGGTGCGCTGACCGACTCGGCCTTTGGAAGTCAGGGATTTTGATGGATTTTGGGGATTTTCATGGACATTTCAAGGGATTTTTGATGGATTTTGGGGATTTTCATGGACATTTCAAGGGATTTTTGATGGATTTTTCATGATTTTTCTGGATGTTCGATGTTTTCTGATCATATTTGAGTCCAGAAAGACATGGACATCGGGGCTTTGACATGATAGGGAGTTGGCCTCGAATGGTGGGATTTTAGCTACAATCATAAGGCGATGCAAGTTACACATGGGTAACTCAGGCAATTTATAAAAAAAATCATATAATTACAACAACTATTGGGGCTTTAACCTCCTCTTGCTGGGGATATGACCAAAAATTGTTTTTATTCCCCTTCCTGTTGTATTTGTCAGCCAGCGATTTGAACTGTCGAAATCCTCCCGTTTCAAAACAGTTGCATTTGCCATCGGAATTGGATGGACCTTTTACAGGTTGAAGTGAAGCCGAGTCGTGTGATTCAGTGTAGGAGCGTTGGGCAGTTTGCAGTTGGGTTTGTTTGAAGAAAGGGAACCCCTAGATCCACTCCCTACTCGACATTTTCCCTATTGAAATAGCAATAACTGGGGAGTGTTAATCCATGCTCAGGCCGCAAGCTCGGATGTAGCCACGCCAAGCCCAGTCCATCACAGTCCGGAGGGAGTCTTGGACTTCGGCAGGGCGCGATTAGCAGCAGCTGAGCTGTCAAATGTTGTAAGTTTCGCGACCGAGGCCTTGGGGTTGTGTCAGTTTGTGTTCTGTTGGTTAGGGTTTTTCGACCCATTGTGGAACATTGTGGACTCCTCTAAACCCTACATGGATCAATGTGGATCATTTTCCTAGGAACACCATGGGCCATCCATTTGCTGGAAAGGATCGGTGACATCTTCACCCGCCCAGAAGGTGATCACGGATGGATCTGCTGCCAGAAAGGCATCTTGGCATCTTTGACACCACTTGGGTGTGTCTGAACATGGCATATATTATCCCAAAATTACCATTCAAATTGGGAAATCTGACGATTAACCATGATTAACCATGATTAACCATGATTAACTGATTAACCATGATTAACCACCAAATTCGGGAGTACCATGTTTTCAGACAAACCCACTTCATGGTTTCTCATGGAAGTTACTTTTAACGGCTTTCCCCAAGAAATGGTTCTGGAGAGCGCTGGCTAAGGTGGATGCTGAGGAATACAAAACAGAGTTCCGAGAATGGGCTTCTGAGCTGGAAGAGACTTGGTGCAACTGGTGAGTTCCCTTGAGCCCGCTGTCCCTCTAGTGACTCGCGTGGTTTTGCAGTGGTGGTTTCGATTCCTGTGGCAAAATGAATGATGATAGGTTCATTGCATTCCCATTTTTTCTTGTGTTTTTGGCTGTTATATAGCCATTACACTTCTTCACAATCCATGGGACTTCATTTGGTTCATGATACTTCCATTCCTTCGGATACTTCTTCAGTTCATTGTTTTTCCAAGATTTTAAATATGGTGGTTTAAGCTATTTTAAGCCCCAAATCATCCAAGTAGATCATTTTATTTTAGTCATTTTAGTCTTTAAAAACCTATGGTGATTTGGGGATCCCCCATTTCAAGAAACCCCGGGACCCAGGACAGAGCTGAAGCCTACTTTGCCTCGGAGATGCACATGGCATCGGCGGCCTTTGAGGAACGAAGGGTAGTTACAGAACGCACGGATACCATATATGCCATATATAATTAAGTATAATTACACACATACACACACACACATATATATATATTGTGAACTGGGTTCAACACTGGCAGCCCCACCAGGAAATTCCCCTCCAAGCGATCAAACAGCTGGTTTGTCCCTCACAGCGCAGCAAAAGGTCGTTGGAGTCTCACAAGCAGCTTCAGGCCACGGTCAAGTGGCAAGCAAAGGAAAAGTTCTCTCGGCGAAAACCTATGGCTGGCCACAGCAAAGGAAATCCTATGGACTGGCCTCAGTCCGTTGGCTCAAGAAACACTTTACCACTGCCCTCCCTCTCCTGGCTGCCTCAGCCAAAAAGTGGCTGTCGAGATACATATGGTTTCCCCTGACGGAAGGCAATGGACAGCTGGACACTGACTGGGTTCAGTTGTGCAATCACACTCCCAAAAGAGGAAATTTTGTTCATGATTTTGTTGTTTCTTCTTCAGTTTCATTTTGATTCTGTAGCCATTTGATTCGGTTCCTTGTTGATGCCCGTTGTTTGAGGATCTCTTGTTCATCCTGCAAACTGTATTGTCCATGTTGGAGTGTGTATCGGAGGAAGCGTCCTTCCATGATTTTCCTTCTATGTGCGTCAGTGCGTCAGCCACTTGGGCACCGCTATAGACCCAACGCAGTGTTGTTCCTTCAGCCAAGAAATCTTTGATAGCTCTGGCTTGGAGCTGGGTTCTGAATTCTTGACACGCTGGGGGGGCTGTTCGAGTAACTAGATCAAAAAGTGATTTGCAATCAGTTACGGCAATGGAGGGATCTTCTTTGAACGTGGCAGTGGAATATGAAGGAGGTAGGGTCTTTAAAGTTTCCGTTGGATTTTTCCAGTTGGTTTTCGGATTTCTGATCCAGTTCCAGAATAGCCTCAGCCATGAAAGCTGATCTAGTGTCGTACTGAGGGAAGTAGTTTCTGCTGAAAGGGTACTGGTAACCACACGCTGAATCTTCTTACAGCCCCAACTTATTGGATTTACCGGGCAAACATGGTTCTTGGGTAGTCATGATCATCATTCCAGTATGAGACTCAGGGACCTTTTTGGATGCGAATGATGCATCTGAGAAAGCAAGAAATCTTATTTTCTCAAGGGGAATTGGTTGAATGTGAATGGACGTGTTTTTGTGTCTTTTGGCTTCGTGAAGTACCTTGTTTCCTTGTATGAGTGTTTCAATGGTAGCTTTGTTGATATCGCTCTGCGAGAAGCTGAGTCTACTGGACAGATCTGGACGAGTGTTGACGGAAGCATATTGTAGGGATCCTATCAAGGCTCGCAGGTCTTGGCGTTCGCGCTCTGTGACTGGAAGTTCGAGTTGGGATTTACGATTGGGCTGAATGTGAATGGGATTGATTTTGGTGACATATTTTTCCTGGGACATCGTGATACTGTGGTCGTTATTCTGGGTCATTTCAATTCCGGTGAACACAAAGTTTTGAGACTTTTTTGAACCGAATGGAAATTTCTTTTCAAGCTCCTGAATTTTGTGCATGAAGTATGAATCTCCTCCGCATAAACCATCATCGACATGGATACCTAATATTCCGGAAGGTTCTTGGGCTTCTTCCTTGTACAGTAGGTATAAACATGGGTCAAATGGGGATGGAATGAAATTCAGGGATCTCAATGTCTTATCAAGTTCAGTGAACCATAAGAAAGGTGCATCGATGAGCCCGTATGCAGATTTTACGAGGCGGCACACTTCATTGGGTTCCAGGTTCATCGCGGAAACCATTTCAGGCACAGGTTCTACGGCAATGACACGTCCTTCCTGAGTTCTTCCTTGGAGGAATGCGGCCTTAATGTCAAAGGACATCAGGTTCCACCCCATGGATGCGATTACCTGTGCTATTAACATTTTGGATGTCCTGCCAAGGGTTGGGCTATCTCTAGGGATCGTATCCAATTGGAGATCTTGGAGCCCTAGGACCACCAGTCTTGCCTTTGCCTTTCTACTTTTTCCATTGTTGGCTTTCTGCTCTGCAACTTCGGTAATAGGTTTCCAAACATACAACCAACGACATCTCAAAATCTGTTGTGGTGAGAGTTCATTGCGGAACATGCGAACTACCGTTCCTGTCTGGAGCCAGTTCTGAACTTCCTTTGCCTTTGCCTCCTCAAATTCACGGCGTTCGCTCGGATCCAATGTGCTCAGCTTGACTTCGGTTCTTTGTTTCTTTGTGGCAGTGGCCAGCAACAAGAAATCTTCATTGATTGGGTTTTGACTGTCCTGGCACATTGATTCCAATTGGTCATGTGTGAACTCAAGTTCGGCTCGCCACACGCTGGTTTCCCCATTGGGACTCCATTGGTCTTCTCCATCAACATCCTCACATGTAAGTAGGTCACACATCAGTTCATCATCGGTATCATTGGGGATTGGTATCTCATGGGGTTCTAGTTCCTGTTGTTCATGATGATTATTGTTATTTTGAGTGTTATCTTGTGGAAGATTATTGGTATCATCGGGTTCCTGGTCAGGTTGTTCTGTGGAACTGTGGCTGTCGGATCTCTGGTGGTTTTCTGAAGTGGAGTTGTTTGGAATGATTTCATTGTTGGTTCCTGAAGGCATAGTGACGTCTCTGGTGGTGCTGATGGATCTTGATTGGATCTCATTGTTCGCCCTCTGTGGCATGGTCTGCAGTTGGTCTTCTATAGGAATTAGTTGTGCTTCGACTGAGCTCACAGGTCGCACATGTTCAGGTGCAGCACGAATCAGGGTTCCTGAGTTATTACAAAACACAGTGGTGGGCCCTTCCTGGATAATCACCCTTGCAGGGCCAATCCATGAACCTTGTTTCAAGTGAACTTTCCATATCATCACCCACTCCCCTGGCTCGTAAGCGCCGCGGTGCGGACGGTCTCTGCGCAAGGCTGCACGCCGCAGTGACATGTCATTGTCGGCTGAGTAAAAGGCTTTTCTGGCAGTTTCTCTTTGTGCAAGAAGTTCCCTAAACCTTATACCTTGTGGGTTTTCACTGGCGGCAATGGCATGTGACGGAAGCGAGTCGTCACTGGTGAGCGACCCTGGCATTCGGAGTCCTCTGCCGAAGACTAGGGTCTCTGGTGAATACCCATGTCTCAGGCTGCATGCATTTTTGGCCATGGTGCGATGAGTCAGTGCTTGTTGGACCTGCTGGTAATTGGTGACATCATGTTCTAACTCATACTTACTAAGCATGCTCTGTAGGATCCCCCCATGACGCTCAATTCGACCTACCTGCCAATGGGCATCAGGGGGAACAACTACACATTGCACATTGAGGCTTTGCATGTATTCCTGAAAGGCAGTGGACAGGAATTCCGAGGCTGAGTCCATCAGGACAGTGTTGGGCGGTCCGGCCCAGTTGAGCCAACCTGCAATGAACTTCTCTTGGATGTCTGCTCGGTTGGGGGCAATCACCGCAGTGTGATAATTGGTCCCATGGTCGATGAAATGGTAAAAGTGGAATTCTTGATTCTGCTTATTTACCAATTTTACCCCATCTATGGATACTTTATCCCCAAATTCGAGCTCTTCCTTAAGAGTTGCAGGTCTTTGAATTTTTGGTCTCTGCTGCATCTGGCACACTGAACACTTCAAATCCAGCACACCTTGACATAACTCAGGACAATACCCTCGTTGTTGAAGGACCTTGCTTAGTTTTGTGGGTTCTGGGTGTCCCAAATTTTTGTGAAGGCGAATGGCAAGCTTCCTATTTTCCGGTGACATTGCAAGGAAACGAGACCCATGGTTCTGGCTTTGTTCATCTATCTTACTGGGACTTTCGGATGCTTGGACGGATGCTGGATTTGGCAAGAGTGTCATGTCTGAATTGGTGGCTCCGTCCGGAGGAGCCGCTGTCGTAGGTTCTAACCCTGACATCGCATTTGGGGACCCATCTGGGGTCCTGGATTGGACATCTCTTGCAGGTTCTGGCTGATGAATTACGGAGGGTGCACTGCTGTCTTCAGGGACATCAGGATTGCGAGCAAAAACTGTTATATTCATGAAGCTTGGGTGTGAGCGGCGCCACAACTGCCTATTTGACAAATACTTCCATTCCTCCCACTGGTCCTCGATCAGGATGTTTTTGGTAATTCTTTGGACAATTATTGCTCTTCGATATGGTGCTTCATCGGGCATCAAGTCCTTTGGAGGCATGATAGTTCTCTCAGTCCCTTTGCATACTATTGCCCTTACCACTACTTTGTCATGAAAAAGTTCTTGGATATCCTGAAGTATTTTCGAGTCAAGAATCTCTTTCCTACCAACCCTGGGTGCAATGGATGACACTTGAAAACAAATGCGATCACAAATGCTTGATGGATTGACACTGTCGGACATCTTTCCAGTGGTCCTTCTTCTCTTGGCAGGCATGGCTTGAGGCTCAATCAGCTCGCTTGCTCGCAGTTTTGCTCGTTTTGGTTTCGGCAACATGGAAGCGCCATTGGATCTCTTGGTCGAGGCAGCAGCTATGAATTCTACTCCCATAGGCACTTCTTTGATGCATGTCACTTTGGTGAGAACTCGAGCAATGGTCCTGGCAAACTTCCGGTTATATCGTTCTGAAAGTTCTGTTCTCTTTATGCGCATCCCTTTGTACACTGTTTCACCTTCAAGTTGTTGATGGTCATGTTGATGATTGCACTTGCGTCCATGAAATTGTTGGTAAAATTGAAGTGAAGTGGTAACAATCTCCATACCCTTTTTGAACAAAAGTTGATTGACTGGATCCCGCATGAGACCTACTCGACACATGTCGAACTCGGCAACTTGTGTCCCTTGAATGATCTCTCGCAACAGTGGAATTCTCAACATGATTGACTTGGCTGGCTGCTCCCAGTGCATGTGTCGACCGCAAGACACCTGGTGGCGATACAGAACAAGTCCAAGAGCCAGCTGGTACAAATTGTCATCTCGCTGTTGCTGGATTTTCTGGAAGCTCTCCAGGCTCCTAGATTCATTCAATTGACTCCATGAGCTCCATGGTCCACATGTTGGGCTGTACCACAGGTGTTGTGGTCGGCATGAAATGACTTTCTGAAAAAGTCCTTTTCTACCTTCTTTGGTGGCAACATCCCCTTCTTGATATCCATATCTTACAGCCCTATATCCCAATTGGTTTACTTGTTTGGTTAGTTCACTGTTCGGACTGCCAAGAACTTCCATGACTTGGACAATTGGCTCGGAACGGATGCTTGGCATTGTGGAGACTTCGTGGAGTTCCTGTGAAAATTGCTGTACAAGTGAATTGAATTTGGCTTGACGATGATTCATGATTGTGGTGTGATTGTTGCATGTTCCAAAATCATGATCAATGTCTCCTGCCAGACATAGGTGATCTACAAAATCTTTCACTGCGAAGGCCTCATCAGACTCAGAATCTCGGTCAGGGCATTCTCGATGGAGAGGACGCGAGTCTGAAGCGCTTGCACCTCCTCGGGAAGAGGATCTTGATGAAACTCTCTGGTCATGGGCTCCATCACATCCCACGGATCGTTGAGATCCTCGCTCATCACTGTCATCACATCTGCTGGCATATTGCTGGCCGTTGCTGGAGCCGCTTTGGCTTTGGGATATCCCTTGCAGCGTGGCTGGACAATCCCTTGATGAGGCTCCGGCAGGTCCAGAGGAGGTAGCCCTTGATCTGTCTCGTGTTGTTGGACCATCCTTTCCACATAGATGACCATCTTGCGATGCTCCTCTTTCTGGCTGTCGGCATAGGTGCGGATGAACCATTTCACCCAGGCTTTCTCTGTTTCCCACATCTCCAGAAAACTTTTGCCTACGTGAGCACGGCCAAAACTCACTCGGTGGTTGCCCATTTCCTCGAGGCTCTTCGCTTCGAAGGCATCCACACTGTCTGGGGTGTTCCGAGACAAAACCCTCTCGACACGGCTGGACAGGCTCATGGCACAAAGCTGGGTTCAGGTTCTGTACAAGCTGGATGAACGCTGGGGACACTGTTTTGGGCCTGGCAGTCTCGGCATTCACATTCTGTACATGACTATGGCTACTTCGGCAGGAGATATGCACATCGCGACAAAACCTGGGACCTGCTGGGGATTTCAATTCTTTACCTGGACACAAGTTGGACTCTGACAGGCTGGTGTCGGCTGATGCATGCATGGTTTTGGCACTCGGAGAAATCATTGCTCACAAAGGTCTCAGCGATGGACGGTTCTGTCCTGTTTGTTGGTCCTTTCTGCGCACAAATCAAGTCTTTGACATCGAGCATGTACAACCCTTTTGGACTTAATCTCAGTTTTACGGACTGCCGCAGAAATGGACTGGTCAGGACCTGCTGTGCACTGTTGATGCTTGCTCTCAACGTCCTGATCAAAGTGTTAGACAACAACAATGGGGTCTCTCCTTCAACAATAGCAACCTTGAGTCCGAGGCCTATTGATGTCAGGGGAATCACCAGAGCATGTTTGCTATCCAACGTACCTTGATTGCCAAACCTAAATGTGATTTCACATCGTGTTCGGAACAGTTGCTTCTGAACACGTGAGGCAAGCTTTCTATAAATGAAGGCAACAATTTGCTGCCGATCACTGACTTTGTGGCGCCTGTGTCAAGAATGCCACTGGTTCCATGCGTGGAAAAGAAAATCGGCTCAGGTTCAGAGGCACTGCTGATTGTCTGCGTCTTCATGGTCTGGCTGTGAAGGTTTTCATTCCTGAGAACATGGCTCTTCGGGTTCTTTTGTGGTTCCCCCCAATTCCCTTTCATTCGGAGGCGTTCCCGGAGCTCAGTAGGAATGGCCCTAACTACATTAATTAAATGCATTCTGGTTTCATCGAGAGGAGCTTCTTGGATGATTGGAAGCTGCATGAACTCCATAGGCATGGCATCGGGCTCGGAGACATCATCAAAAGGCTCAACGGTGGTAGTCATGGCAGCCGAAGTGCTGGTGGCGGCTGTGGCTGAGCTACCCCTAGATCTCTCAGGGCATTCGGCTTTCCAGTGCCCCTTTTTCCCACACAATCTACACGAACTTTCAAGGATTCTTTGTTGCAGTGTTTTCTTGGGAAACTTGCCATATGATTTACCCTTTCCTTTAGGATTGGAAAATTTTCCTTTCCCCTTTGAGGGTCCAATAGGCCAAAATCCCCGATTCTTAAATCTGTCAGATAACCTCTTCCGGGCCTCAGAGTACGTCGTGTAGGCTGCCGCCAAGTCCTCGTCAGTCTGAACGGTTTCTGCCATTGCAGATTCATAGTCAGCTATGAGGGCCGCATCTTCGTCGGCATCTTGGAGCAGTTGATCAAAGTACTCTTCTTCGGTCAGGTCTTCCGATGCAAAAACTTGAGAATCGTATTGCAAATCATCATCATCATCCTCTGCAACCAACACTTGATTGTCGTAGATCTTGCCCTTGCTGCGTTTCTGACCAATCATGTCATTGAAAAATGCCGTGCCCAGCATTCTCACTGCTTTCCCCACCTTGTCGATGGTCAGAGTGCCGTCATTGTCCGCGCCGCTTTCCAGGATGACTCGTTTCTTGTCTTCCGTTGTCAAAAGTGATCCTCTGAGAACAATGTATGCATGAACTTCATCCAAATCAATCTTCTTTGACTTGAGTTCAGACCAGTTTGCATCGCATCTGGCTAAAAAGGAATCATTTGACTCATCTTGTCTCTGCGAGCATTTGAACAGAGCTTTCTCAACTGATTCATACTTTCGTTCCAGGTTCACCTTGCCCCACTGTCCTCCTAAGAGGGTCACCAACAGTTGAATTCCAGACTTGTCATTGGTTAATAACTTGTCCCTACTCAGTTGTAACTTCTGGAAGGCTGTACCGGACGTATTCAGAATCAAATCATCCTTCGACGGGTCAAAGCTCGGCACTAACGTTGCCAAGTTGTTGGAGACTGACGTTGTGCTGCCATCTCCTCCATCAGAAGCTTGTGCCATGGTGGCACTCTCGATTTCAAAACTCCCTGGAGCAAAGGTAGCGCTCCGCTACCAGTGTGAACTGGGTTCAACACTGGCAGCCCCACCAGGAAATTCCCCTCCAAGCGATCAAACAGCTGGTTTGTCCCTCACAGCGCAGCAAAAGGTCGTTGGAGTCTCACAAGCAGCTTCAGGCCACGGTCAAGTGGCAAGCAAAGGAAAAGTTCTCTCGGCGAAAACCTATGGCTGGCCACAGCAAAGGAAATCCTATGGACTGGCCTCAGTCCGTTGGCTCAAGAAACACTTTACCACTGCCCTCCCTCTCCTGGCTGCCTCAGCCAAAAAGTGGCTGTCGAGATACATATGGTTTCCCCTGACGGAAGGCAATGGACAGCTGGACACTGACTGGGTTCAGTTGTGCAATCACAATATATACATACATATATGCACACACACATATATATATATATATACACCAGTAGTACCGCACTAGGCGGTGGCGCAAGTTTCAAAAAGTTGAAACCTGTAGGAGGGGTTGGTTGTTGTGAATCACGGATGGCAGAACGGATCTACTGATGGACTGAAAGGTGGTTGGAGTTGTGTTTTTGGAGTGGTTACAATGGTTGCAGTGGTCACCTGGTCGGTCACCTCACCCACAACTGCTGGATGTAGTGTGGTGAAGTGCAGCTGTAGTTGTATATAGCGTAATGGAGTTGTAGTTGTGGTGTAGTGTAATTAGTGTAGTGTAGTTGCCGTTGCATTTGTGATGGTGTAATGAGTGTAGTGTAATGTAATGTAGGGTAGTGTAGTCTAGCGTCGTCTAGTGTAGTGTAGTGTAAAGTAGCGTAGTTGTAGTTGTGGTTGTGTAGTGTAGTGCAATGTAGTGTGAAGTGTAGCGTAGTGTAATGTAATTAGTGTATTGTGATGCAATTAGTGTAGTGTAATGTAGCGTAGTTGTACTTGTAGTTGTACAGTAGTTGTAGTGTAATTGAGTGTAGTGTAGTGTAGTGTAGTGTAATTGAGTGTAGTGAAGTGTAGTGTAATTGAGTGTAGTGAAGTGAAGTGGAGTGTAGTGTAGTGTAGTGCAATTAGCGCAGTGTAATGTGTAGTAGTTGTTCTTGTAGTTGTAGTTGTAGTTGTAGTTGTACTTAGTGTAGTGTAGTGTAGTGTAGTGCAGTGGAGTGCAGCGTAGTGTAGTTGAGTGTAGTGGAGTGGATTGGAGTGTAGTGTAGTGTAGTGTAATTTAATTAGTGTAGTGCAGTGTAGGGTAATATGGTTGTGGTTGTAGTTGTAGTTGCAGTTGTAGTTGTAGTGTAGGAGTGGCGTGGAGTGGAGTGGAGTGTAGTGTAGTGGTGGTTGTAGTTGAAACTGTTACAAAACCATCATATTTTGCTATATTTTGCTAACTTTTGGCAAGGTGCACAATCCCTTGCGCCTGCCATGCGAAACGACATCTGAACGTCCAAAAGTGGCCCGAGACCGTCAGTTTTTAACACTTTTGACTTCGAAATGTGCTTCGCACCACAATGGCATGCGCTTTTTCGACATCTCAACTTTCAAAAGTGGCGCGAACATGTGGTGTTTTGTACATTTTGACTTCGAAATGTGCTTCGCGCCACAAGGGCGCACACTTTTTGAACATCTCAACTTCCAAAAGTGTTCGAGACTGAGGTGTTTTGTATATATTGACTTCGAAATGCGCTTCCGCCACAACGGCGTACATCTCAACTTCCAAAAGTGATCTGAACGCGGTGTGATTTGTCTACATTTTGACTTCGAAATGTGCTTCGCGTCACCTTGGCTTGTATTTTTTCAACATCGCAACTTCCAAAAGTGCACCAAACATGGTGTGCTTTGTACATTTTGACTTCGAAATGTGCTTCGCGCCACAATGGCGTGCAATTTTTCATCTCTCACCTGGCCAGATGGCTCCGCACCGCCGCTTTAGCGGAGCCTACTTTTCGACCCTCCGGAGCCACAAATCATTGGAAAAACAATGCATTTCGTTACTTTCCTACCTTTTCGCGCACCTGCATCTTCTTTCTTCTCGCACTTTCTCTTCTCTGATCTCTCTTCTGCACTTCTCCTCTCTGACTCTTCCCACCTTTGCTTTTCCATCTGAGCAGCGTCAAAAACCCCCAAGCAAGAAAGTTAATTGGGGATTAAACTAAGTTGGGCCCGCGGAAGTGAAACCCACGTCCGCGGAAGCGCGCGGAAGGGCTTGCGGAAGCAGACGCTGATCGTCCGATCGCGGAAGGGCCGCGGAAGACAATTTGAGTACCGTATTTACATATATCAAATATATATATATATATTTACATATATACGTATACATATACATATACATATTCATATATACACAGATACACAGATACATATACATATACATCACGGTTCGCACGCCGTGCAACTATAGATGTTGATGCGATTCGTGTGGAAAAGGTGCTGTGCAGTCAGCATTCATGGGGGCTTGGCGCAGGATGGAAGGTCATCCCTGTAATCCGAAGTGCTTTGAGATGTTATTTTAAACCGGTCTTGGCCCCGAAATTCGCGGAAGCCGCGCGGAAGCTCCGCGGAAGCTACGCGGAAGCCGAATCTTCTCTTGCCCGCCCCCAGCACACGCGGATGGGTACCAGCGGCTGCTTGACCATCGTCTCTCTCCCTTTCTTTCCGCCTTGGCGAGTTGGATACTACGACAAGCCTCCTGCTTGTGAACAACCAGGAGCTGAAGCAGGCAAAGAGAACAGTGTTACTCGCAGATTCCGCGACCAAAAGACAAAAAAAGCCGCTTACATGCCGAGCCGAAGGCCAACCTTTTTGCAAAATTGCTCTGCCAAAAGTCTTTCCCTGCAGCGCGCTGCTGCAAAGAAACGCCGCCAGAGCCAGAGTCTTCCACATCTTCTTCATCTTCCGCCTCGTCTTCTCCATTGTCGGATGAAGAATCTGCCTGACTGCCGAATGCGTGCTGCTGCCAAAGAAAAAATGTTTGAGTGCCCGGATGCACAAACAAACCAAATATCACCCACTATTCTCCACAATCAAAGTCAATCAATTTCCATCAATGCTAAATCAATTTGTAGATTTCATGAGGAGCTGGCTTTCGCGGAAGCTCCGCGGAAGCAGAATCAACTTACCAACCATCCGCGGAAGCTGAAACTGTGGTGGCGGAAGCAGTGCGGAAGACCGCGCGGAAGACAAGTAAGATTATAAGAGAATTACATAGGGGTTTTCGCCACCGCTCATCTGTCCATTTTGTCGGTAGTTTGACTTTTAAACTTCCTTCGACCAATATATACATATAATCATATATATATATATATTTATAGATTATATTATATATTATACTTCTATAATGCTGTAGAGAGCGACAGTGATTTGTTTGCTTCAAGCCATCAGCACATGTTTATCGCAAAAAGGCCTTCAGCGGCATGTTAGAAGGGTGGTGGGTGCATACCTGAAGAGAAGCAGCAACAACATCAAAATGATTGTAAAAAAAACCAGAGGCAACACTGGCAGACCTCAAAAGATGTCACTTGCGGATTGCCCATTATTCTCCGTAATTTTCCATAAATTTACATAGTTATCCATCATTTTGATCATTTTCCATATTTGAAGTTCAGAAAAACATGGCAATTGTTGCACTGTAGAGGTCCCTTGAGCCACCTCGGCCGCAGGAAGCAGATGAGGTTGACGCTTTGCACCTGTCCTTGCAAGCGAAAGAAGAGGAGCTGGGGAGAGCCATGAAAGAACATCTCAAAGTGGCCAGCCTCTTGCCACAAAACTTCGGAAAAAATGGCAGATCAGCTTCGTGTAGCAGTGTAGCGAATGCGGATGCCAACATGATCCAATATGCTTGTGTGGGGCATTCTGGCATGTAGAAATACAGTACCATACATCTATAGAGTAAAGTGAGTTAATAGTTTTAATAAACACGTCTATACTACACACATTTGTCACATACATATATATATATTGTATTATATTGTATTATTCTACTAAAATATGTGAGTGTGGAAGATGGTGCATTCAACTAATTATCCCGTTTTTTTTGGTGGGAGTGGTCTTGAAACCACTACACTATGCATATCTAAGATCTTTATAAGTGGATCTGAGTGGTATGATGTAAAATCATCCCATCTTCCCATTTTAAGTAATTTTGTCATATTTTGTTTGTTTGGCAATTTAATTTGGTTCCCGCAATTACGTTAGAACAGAGAAAGGCGCTCCGGCTCAACCACTACCTGAAGCCAGACATGTCCAGACAAGGGGCATGACTCAACGCTGCGTTGAGGTCAGGATATCCATGAAAATGCGAAGCGCAAGGTGGATCTTGCCAGAAAGAAATGCCAAATCGAGCTGAAGAAGCTCCGCAACGAGCAGGACTGAGTAGAGTCTGAAGAATTCAACGAAGTTAGGCATAGTTGTGCACTTGCATCGCAATCATCATGATCATCATAATCATCATGATCATAAAAATCATCATAGTTAGGCATAGTTTTGACTTGTTTGATTTATTTGGTGGTGTGGCACGCGCGGGAGACTCGTCCTTGGGACACGGGACACCACCGCGGGAGCTACAGGCCAGCGCGGAAGTTGCCGCAGCCGCCAGGGCGGAAGGGGACACTTGGCCCTACTATGCATGCCCAACATCCCCATGACTTTGGCTGGTTCGCATGTTTCTTTGCTTCAAATGAGGATAGTGTATTTGAATTGTATTTGATATATATATATACAGTACATATATATTAATATATTGTATTCTGATATATTACGTGTAACGTGTGTGTTTTGACTGGTCGGATGTATGAATAACATACTGAACATACTGCAACACAGTATGTATACTTTGCATTTGCCGCGCATACAGTATGCCACAGCATTTATTTGTACCACGATCTCAGGACTGTTTTCAGGATCGTCACGTTTGCCCTGCATTTCTGAAACCGCGTGATTTGTAAGGAGAAGGAGTTGGGGAAGAAACTCGCGCAAGCTGAAGGGGTGCTTCGGGAAGCTGCGGTGAAGGTTGGCGCGGCCCGGTTGTATCATATGCCCATGTGAATATACACATGTTTTTACACGCACAGCATAAACATCATATACGATCAAAATCAATCATATTACATTTCTACTTGCAATATGCCCAGGAGACAATATACAATGATATGCATAGATCTTCACACACACACACCAATATAATCCATATATGCGTATACATGCAGATACACACTATTTTCGTGTCACATCTCTAGTTGGTGCCCAGGAGTGTCCAGGTCAAGTTGAGCCTTCCCATGCCCACCGTTACACCCCACGCTGGCGGCGCCCCGTAGGAAGTGGAAGAAGTACGTGTTGCGAAGCTGCTTGGTGGCATCCTAATGATTGACGTAGAAGTATAGAAAAACAAAAAAAACATACATCTATCTTTGCTGCACTGAGACAGAGATGCATACTGCATACATACTATGTGCAATTGTCAAAACATCGTTTCTCTTCCGTGATTTTCCTGTAAAAGGGGCTGGTTATATCATTATATCCGAATGAATAATGATATAATAATGATAAGGGCATATAAGGGCCATATATATATATATATCAATATCCCCATGAATCACCATTATGATATCCCATGTTATCCACCATGGGTGAAGATGCCAAGTGTTTTTGGACCCCAGTCATGATGGGATGACATGGGATGACCCGAGGGAAGCCGGTGAAGCAGAACTTGCTCGACTTGCAGCTCAGTTTGAGGAGGACGAACGCGACCCGATGTGGAAGCCCCGTCAGATGGTGGGTTTACATCCCGAGCCAATAGAGTAAGTGGGGCTAGACCCGGTCTGACAAAGGTTATCTATATGAGTGTTGGGTGCTTTGGGTGACTCAAATTTCATCATTTCCTGTCTCTTGGTTGCCAAAAGTGCTGTACATTCCAGCAAAACTGAGCAACAGCAAGGTCCAAAAAGAATCTGACTGAAAAATGCAGGGCTAGGTTGACCCTCAGGGTTCTCAGGCTGGTTTCTGATGAAATATTTCGTCCCTTGAGTTGGTTTGAGTTGTCGGGGTCCTTGCAGGAGGCTGCTCGGCAGCTGGGTGACCTGCAGGCATCGCAGCAGCAGCAGGAGGCGGGATCAATGGAGCCGTGGTTGCGTGGAAAGATGGGGAAATTGGAGGAGAGATCAAACCAGGGAATGATGATTTGCAGGCTATCCGGGGAATGGTGTATCTTTGAAATCTATAGATAGATCAAACTGGGTAAAGATGACATCTTTGCAGGATATCTAGATGTATCATGATGTATCTAGAGTTAAAAGGCCATGATCATGCCGAGAAGTCTCGGAAAACAAGCTATTAATATGAGAATATCGGCAATGATTGGAATATGACCAAGGCAGGGGTTGGGAACGCCAATGCTTTCCTGTCAGGAGACGCTGGCAAAGCGAGAGGAGCAAAGCTCCGTTGCACAGAGTGCCGCTGTTGCATCAGGATTCTATTTAGGGGGTCAGCTGGGAAAGGCACTGACGAGGGAGACGCATCCTTCATATTCCTTCATAATTACCCTCTGGGGAGAGGGATCAAAAAAAACAGGGATCAAAAAAAAACAAATAAGGATCAAAAAAAACAAATACTGTAGGGATCAAAAAAAGAAAAAATTGAAAACTAAAGGAGGAGAAGGAAGGAAGGAAGGAAGGAAGGAAGGAAGGAAGGAAGGAAGGAAGGAAGGAAGGAAGGAAGGAAGGAAGGAAGGAAGGAAGGAAGGAAGGAGGAAGAAAGAAAGAAAGAAAGAAAGAAAGAAAGAAAGAAAGAAAGAAAGAAAGAAGTAACCTTCTCTTGAAAAATGAAAGGAAAGCTTCCTTCTCTTGACCCCCCCCCACCCGCTTTTATTTTTTAGCCGGCTCCCCTTGCTACCTACTATTCTTTTTTTTTCACAAGCATCATCGTTGTGTATTTGGTTTCATTTAATCTTGATTGATATCCATCGCGACTTGTGCCTATGTACTTCTTTCTTGGTACGCATTGCGGGGGGAGGCGCTGCGCCCTCCCCCCTGCCCCCCCCCCCGCTTTTTTTTTAATCGGTTCCCCTTGCTACCTACTATTCTTTTTGTTTTTCATAAGCATCACCGGTTATTTGGGTTCATTTTATCTTGATTGATATCCATCGAGATTTGCGCCTATGTACTTCTTTCTTGGTACGCATTGCGGGGGGAGGCGCTGCGCCCTCCCCCCTGCACCCCCACCCGCTTTTATTTCTTAATTGACTTCCCTTGCTACCTACTCTCTTTCATTTTTTTCATAGGCATCGTTTCTTTGGGTTCATCTTCTCTTTCTTAATCTTTATTTATATCCATCGAGACTTGAGCCTGTGTGCTTCTTTCTTGGTACGCATTGCGGGGGGAGGCGCTGCGCCCTCCCCCCTGCACCCCCCCACCCGCTTTTATTTTTTAATCAGCTTCCCTTGCTACCTGCTCTCTTTCATTTTTTCATATGTATCGTTTCTTTGGGTTCATCTTCTCTTTCTTAATCTTTATTTATATCCATCGAGACTTGAGCCTGTGTGCTTCTTTCTTGGTACGCATTGCGGGGGGAAGCGCTGCGCCCTCCCCCCTGCACCCCCCCACCCGCTTTTATTTTTTAATCGACTTCCCTTGCTACCTACTCTCTTTCATTTTTTTCATATGTACCATTTCTTTGGGTTCATCTTCTCTTTCTTAATCTTTATTTATATCCATCGAGACTTGAGCCTGTGTGCTTCTTTCTTGGTACGCATTGCGGGGGGAGGCGCTGCGCCCTCCTCCCTGCACCCCCCCACCCGCTTTTATTTTTTAATCAGCTTCCCTTGCTACCTACTTTATTTCTTTTTCTTCGCAAGCATCGTTTATTTGGGTTTATTTTTTATATAATCAATGTTTTCATTCTTGCTGCTACTACTACTACTACTGCTACTACTAGTACTACTACTACTACTACTACTACTACTACTACTACTACTACTACTACTAGTACTACTACTGCTAGTACTACTAGTA